ATAACTCCATTAGATTCAAGATTGTTACGCAAAAAGACAAGGATGAGCCCGAAATCCAAGTTCAAATTGGAAGGCCAATTTTAATAAGATCAGGTATGATTTGGCCAGAGTGGACTAGGAGTCAAAATTTTCAGTATATCTATGTCAAATCAGGGGGGGTGCATTTAAGAAAGAAACAGGGACAGTACAGAGCTAACGTTTCAATAAAGACAAAGGGTGCAACCAACAAATCCCGGGAACCTTGCACATAAAGTGATAAGTAGGATTGGATAAAGAGAAAAAGGGAGACTTACACCAGATACTGAGAGCTGAAAACAGGGATGAACTCTCTTAAATATCTGTACATTCAGACAATGAAGGCCATCAGTTTAACTGGGACAAAGTAACCATAGTAGCCCAAGCCAAACATAGACACACGCAGGAATTCCCAGAGGCATGGCTCTCTACCATACTTCAATCAACAAACATATAGAATTGGACCCATATACAAACCCGTACAGATCAAAACTGGAAATGACTGTACTCACCATAACGGACCAGACAGCATAAATTCCAAGTGGGGTAGAATAACATCGCTTCGTTGGAGGCTTCACTGACGATGTCACTTAGCATGGTGACAAAACGCCTGAACAAAAACAAGTCAGCTCGGCGAGCAAGTCTGCAACCTCTTCTTGATTACTTCCTCAAAAAACTCAATCAAGTTTGTGAGACACGACTGCCCTTGTGTAAAACCATGCTGACTGTCCCTAATCCTTCCTTGCTTCTCCAAATGCATATAAATCCTATCTTTCAGAATCACTTCCAACAACTTACTCACCAAAGTCAGACTCTATAGTTCTCAGGCTTCTCCTTAAACAAAGGCACAACATTAGCCACTCTCCAGTCATCTGGCACCTCACCTGTAGTTATAGATGAGACAAATATATCCGCAAGGGGCCCCACAACTTCATCCTGAACCTCCACAAAGTCCTAGGATATGCTAGATCAGGTCCTGGAGATTTATTCACCTTTATATTTTCTAAAACCTCCAGCAGTTCCTTTTCTGTAATGTGAACTGTTTTCAAAACATCAATATTTATTTCCCGGAGCTCTCTAGCCTCCACTTTTTCTCCACAGTAAGAACTGATGCAAACTATTCACTTAATATCTCTTCCATCTCCTGAGGTTCATCACAAAAACAACCTCTTTGATCTTTAAGGAGCCCCCCACTCTCTCTCTAGTTGTTCTTTTGCTCTTAATGTACACGTAGGATTTCTTTGGATTATCTTTAATCTTACTTGCCAAGGCTATCTCATATCCTCTCTTTGCCAAACTAATCTCCCTCTTCGAATGCCCCTACACCCTTTATAATGTTCAAGATAAGGTGGAAGATGGTGCTGACACCAGACAACTCCTTGTGAGCTCCTATCAGTAAAAATTACTGATAATGTTCGTTTAAATCTAATTACAGATTTGAAGATCCTACAGTCATCCAGGCCCGAGTACTGGCGATGCTGGATTCACAGACCCAGGACAGACCTACCAGCTTCCCGCAGGACCCATGAAGATCAGACTGTTGAATGGACTGTAGCCTCAAATAATGTAACCTTTATGCCTCTTAAGTCTTTTGATCTGTATATCCTTTGCTTCCTGTGATCTTTCAAAGCTTTTCACTGTATTTCAGTACACGTGACAATAAAAAAATCAATATTAATCAAGAGATTCATTTGAACATAGTTGTTTATATCTAATATATGATTCTTTTCTCTTCTTGACGAGAACCTCAATATCTTTCTTCATCCATTGCTCTCTAATGCTACCAGCCTTACCTTTTACTCTAAGAGGAACACAATGACTCTGAACTCTCGTGATCCCACTTTTGAAAACCTCCTACTTATGAGAAATCCCTTTATTTGCGAACTGTCTACTCCAAACAATTTTTGAAAGATTTTGTCTCATACCATTAAAATGCCTTACTTCAATTAAAAACTTTAATTTCTTATGGAAGGCTTATCCTTTTCCGTAACTATTTCTTAAAACATAGAATTATGATCACCTGACCCAAAGTGTTCCTCCACCATCACTACAGTCACTTGCCCTGTCTTATTACCCAAGAGAAGATGAAGTTTTGTTCCTACCCTAGCAGGAATATTCACATTGTAATAAAGAAAATTTTCTTGAACACATTTAACAAATTTTGCACCATCCAAACTTTCAACACTGTAGTAGTCCCAGTCAATGTTTGGAAAATTAACACCACCTATTAAAATCAGTAATACCCTTTCGCTATTCTTCCTCCCCTCCTGTACATCTGGACCACTCATGGTGCCATTTGCATAGCTCTTAGTGCATTCAGGATCCATTGGCCTCATCAATATTCAAAACAGAAAGCCAGTTTGTGAACAGGACCTTTGGGAACTCCGGCACTACTTAATTGTTTCTCATGGACTGTGTGGTGGTTACCTATTCCCTATAGGCTTGCATATAACCTTACAGACCTAACTTGCAGTGTGACCACTTCCATATAGTTCTCTGGCCTAAACATGGATTTCACCAATTTTAAAATCTCCCCACCCCCGGCCTCATCCCACGTGCAACCCTCCTTTGATACAACCTGTCCGTTTTCTCTCCCACCCCACTGACTAATCCCCACCACTGCCTACCTGCACTCACCTATCACCATCCCACCTACCTTCCCCAGCCCCACCCCTCCTCTTTCTATTTATTTTGGAGCTCCCTTCCACCCCCCCACCCCAATTTCTGAAGAAGGGTCCCAACCTGAAAAGTCAATTTTCTTGCTCCTCTGATCCTGCCTGGCCTGCTGTGTTCCTACAGCTCCACACTGTTATCTCGGACTCCAGCATCTGCAGTTCTTGCTATCTCTTCACATGACTGAGGATGTACACACTCTCTCGCCCCCTTTCCCTCCCCCCCTTACACACACATCCTCTCTCCTCCTCCCTCTCACTCTCACACACACACACGAAACTATGAGGTGAATTTGTATTTTCAGATACTTCAGTCTTTAGTGGGCCAACATTGCTGCTGACCACCCACCCTCCCTTTATGAAACTATAAAATTTCTCATTGATTTTAATGCACCTGCCAAGTTTCCTTTCATAATTCCTTTCAGTAGCTCTTACAAGTGGTTTTGTGGACTTTTGCTGGTGTTTGTATCTTTCCCATTCAGCAGGATCTGTGCTGTTTTTGCATTTTTGTAAACCCTTTCTTTTGGTGTTATCCTGTCCCTTATCTCTTTAGTTGCCAATGGGTGCTTTTTCTGTGAAGTGGAGCTTTTCCTTCTTAGGGTATAAACTAGTTTTGTATTGCGTTAAATATTTCTTTAAACACCCTCTACTGTTCTTCAGTTGTTTTACCCATTAGCACATTTTCCCAATTTATTGTGCACAATCTCTGTCACATCTTATGAGATCCTTAAACTTTGAAACTTTTGCCTGTTATGCTTTAGGGACAAACTCATATGTGCCTAGTATGGCTCTTTGTTGTGTCATAATCCCCAGAAACCTCCTCTGACAGTGAAGCTGTGAATACATTTCCTGTGCTTTCCTTTCAACTTGCACTATATTGGTAAATACCCATGATTCCTTTGGCCAGTCCATGGGCAGCATGGTGGCTCAGCATTTAGCACTGCTGCCTTATAGCAGTCAGACTAGTTCACCTCATAGGTTCACTTCCAGCCTTAGGCAACTTTCTGTGTGGAGTTTGCACATTCTCCCCATGTGTGCATAGGTTTTCTCCAAGTGTTCTGGTTACGTAGATGTGCAGGTTACGTAGACTGGCCATGCTAGATTTGTCCCATAGTTTCTAAGGTTTTAGAGTAGATTTGTAGCTCGGGTTGTGGATGTTGTGATTGGTTGGCTCGCCAAGCTGGTTCGTTGTTTCTCCCCCATAGTGTCCTGGATTGTGTGGCTAGGTGGGCTAGCTATGGTAAATGTGGGGTTATAGGGATAGAGTAGGGAAGTGTGTGGGATGCTTTGAGGGTCGGTGTAGCCTTGATGGGCCAAAATGCCTCTTTCAGCGCCGTAGGGATTCTGTGATTAGCTTGCTTGTCTCTCAAATAATGCCTCCACATTCTCCGAGCTAGAACAAGTCAGTTAGGAGTGCCACAAGTTCTTAAACACAAGTTCTCAGCACTATGAAATTTTGTCAGACCCCATAACCTTTGCTGTACACAGTGCCTTTCGTCTTTCCTCAATAACACGTAGTGCGAATTAAATTAGCTGCAGCTACAGCAGTATCTGTAATACTGTGGATCTCAGCAAGAGGAAAGGATGGATCATTCACTCAGCACTTTGACTGAAGATGGTTGCAAATGCTTAAGCCTTATCTTTTGCATAGGCTCTTCCATCATCAGGGATAGAGATATTGGACAGACTCCTGCCCCTGTTTAATTGTGTAACACCTTTAACAATTGGATGTTGCAAAATTGGAAAGCTTAGGTTTGCTTCTTTGGTTGTGGGATCGTTTAGTTCTGTCTATTGAATGCTGCTGCCACTGTTTAGATGCAATTACTCCTATTCTGTACACCTCATTTTTAGGTATGACTCAAGCTGTTCCTGGCATTGCTGTAGATCTGTATTCATGTAGAGGCCAGATTGGGTAAGGATGAGATACCCTCCCCTGAAGTGAATCTGATGGGGTTTCACAACAATTGATAATGGCTCCATGTTCACTATTAGATTCATTAACTGATTTTAAATTCCATCCTAACACATGTCCACAGAGCATTTGCCTGTGTCTCTGGATTGTGAGTTCAGTGACGTTACCATCATGCCACTGCATCCCCCCCAGTGTTTAAATCAGATAATTGCAGCATGATGGAATTGAGAGTTCAAACTATGAAAGCACAAAGTGCTAACTAGCCTGACTGCAGTTTGTATTCCACAGATAGAAAAAGAGAGTGAAGCTTAAAAAATTTTGGATTTGAAAACTGATTTCAGAAGAATCTGAGAACAATTTTCAAATCTTGTAACATCCTTCTAAAAACATATGTACAGTACCGGTCCAGATGAAAAGCAGATACTTCAGCATTGTGTCTGTCATAACCAGCATATGGTTCACCTTCCACGACATAACTTCTGCTGTACCTAAAAGGAAAAGAAATAATTAAACAAGAATTAAACTTAAATATTATGGAAGGCAGCTATTTGTTGTTTTCAAGTATATCATATGGAACGGCAACTACAAATATAGTTTTCAAAATTATTCTTCCCAAATTATCTCCAGTACCAAAAAAAAAAAATCAGAAAATGCTTTGCTTCCATATATGCATCTCAAAGGGGACTGATTACCAGTATTCTAAAATACAATATTAGTCAGTTATTCAAAGAATCACACAGTGACAGTTCTGAACTGAGTACTCTCTCACCTGTTGCTGCGGTGGCAAGGATCAGGACAGATGCATCCACCGACAAGATTCAGTGAGTGAAATACAGGGGAGCAGTTGCTAAATTGTCACCTTCCTGTCCAAATATTTTTCTTGACCTTTCAACGGGGTACCATTGTTACAGCTCTCACCAATTTTTCATTAGTTTTATTTTATTATTTTATCAATTTTGGTTTGGACTGAGAAATGTGAGCTAAAGATAATTTTTCGACTCTGGGTAACAGCTTGTGTTAAAAGGAGAACAGACCAAACAAGCTTTTGTTTGTTTGTGAGGTCAGGTCTGGAAGTTAATTGCAGATTTGATCAGGAACCAAAGATTCTGCAGGCGCTTCATCACTAAGGAACAGCATTACGTTTAAACAGAGAGCAGAAGTTGACTATTAACAAGGTCAGTACCTGGGGATTGATTCCAGCAAATCTGGAATACATGTTATGCTCAAGCAGATGGCAAATGTTGAATGGTAACTGGGACCTTGTGGAGAAGATGGTCAATTTGTCACGGAGCTGTCAAGAGTTTGAACTGGTATTTGACAATGCCTGTTGATGCTATAGAATGAAGATTTTAAAGCTCCCTGCCTAACCTCCCATCAACAGCTCTTGGAATCTCTGAGAATAGAAAACCAAGTTGTTAGTATACTGCCCTTATCTGAGTGAACTGTAAAGGTGACCCTCATCAACATCTTCAGACAATCAACCAAGAAATTGTTGTCTATGCCTGTGGAAAAACTCATCATGAAAACCACAAGTAATCTGGCCAGTCTTTTTCTAAATTTTCTTTGATTTATCCCTTAACTTTTGTTTGTCTGTGTCTTTTATGTGACTGGGCTAAAAACAAAGGTTTTTGGATTTATAGCATAGACCTGTTAGATTATTTTGTTTAATTTGACACTGCTAAAACTACTGTATTGTTAATAAATTGTTAAGTCTTGTGTTTAAGATATAAACTGGCATCTGAAATTGTTTATTCATGAAGTCTCGGCCTGGTCACTCAAGAAATCTGGTTAGGAACTATTGAGGTCAGTTTTGAGAGATTTTTAAGGTTTTAGTACAATGATAGAAAGGCTGATTTGGTTCAGCTATCTCTGTGTCACAACACCATGCTATTAATTACACAGCTGTTAGGAAATCTACTTATCCAGCACAAGGTGATACTGCACCAATTTCATCCATTAAAGCAGAAATGAACTCTCAGAAATAACCAACTCCATTTTACCACTCAACTCAAAAAATATCTACAAGGAGTAGAAACTGCTAGAGAAACTCAGGACGTCAGACATTGTCTATGGAGAGAGAAACAGAATAAATGTTTGTTAATTCTATTTCTCTCCCAAAGAAACTTACAAACCTGCTGGGTTTCTCCAGTACTTCACTTTTATCTCGAAGGAGCACCTGTTTTTAGTCATATTATTTCAATGATACTACTTCCAACTCCAAGTCAGAAAGTTGTGGCATGGACCCCATTCCACAACCTCATATTATTGCAAAAGATGATTGTTACAAAAAGCTTCAAACTTCAGCTGGAAGTGTTAAGTGGATGATTAATCTCACCCTCCTCAAGAGGTCTGGAGTTTCACAGATGTCTGTCTTCAGCCAGTTTGATTCCCTCCACATGATATCATAAAATGGCTGATAGCACTGGATACTGCACAGGCTATGGGCTTTGACAACATTGCAGCATTAATAGTGAATACTTGTATTTTGCACCTTGCCACACCCCAAGCCAAGCTATTCCAGTTTATCTACAACACTGGTATCTACCCAGCAATGTAGAAAATTGCCCAGGTATGTCCTGTACACAAAAAGCAGAACAAATGCCAGTTACCACCCCATCAGTCTATTCTCGATCTTCAATAAAGCGACAGAAGTAGTCATCAATAGAGCTATCAAGGAGCACTCGTTTAGAAATAGCCTATTCACTGACGCTCAGTTTGGGTTCTGCCATGTCCACTCATCTCCTGATCTCTTGTTCAAAATGGACAGAAGAGCTGAACCCTAGAAGTGAGGGGAGAGTGACTGCCCTTGCCATATATGCAGCATTTTACTGAGGACATACTATCAAAGCGCCCTATCAAACCCGGAGTCCATGGGTATTGCAGGAAAGCTCTCTGCTGGTTGGAGTCATACCTGACACAAACAAAGATTGTTATGGTTGTTGGATTTCAGGCACCTCAGCTTCAGTACATCTCTACAGGAATCCCGCAGGGTAGATATTTTTGAATCAACCTGAACCAAGACATTATTAAACTGCTCTGCAGTAGGTGGGACTTGAACCCAGAATGCCAGAACTCGTCAGATTCTGAAGGAGCCACGTTCAAGTCCAGCAAGGCCTGTAACTTATCCAGGCTTTGGTTGACAAGAGGCAAATAACATTTGTGCCAAGCAATGACAATGTCTAACAAGAGAGAATCTAACCATCAAAAAAACATGTAGAAATAGACTCCTTATACCAGCCACTACGAAGCAGAACCAGAAATGAGGCCAAACGCCACATCAAACTTGACCACATAAATAACAAGCAGGACAGACCAACAACACTTCATCGGAGACGTATTGATGAGGTTACCTAGAATGGTGATGAAACATCTGCAAACCAGCCTAACAGCTTGACGAACAAATCAACAACCCCAGAATCTATCCATCACCCCACGACATTCAATAATATTACAATTACTGAATTCACCTACTACAAAGTCTGAGTGTTTTCATTGACCCGAAGTTGAAATGGATTACTACGAATATTCAAATAAAAGCAATTTTCTGCGGATGCAGGAAATCAGAAATAAAAACAGAAAATGCGGAAAATCTCAGTAGGTCTAGCAGCATCTGTGGATACAGAAACAGAGTCAATGCTTTGAGTATGATAGGACTCTTTGAAGAGCAGTTTTGATTCATCCGATACAGTTCAGCAGACATGTCGGATCACCACCACCTGCACGTTCCCCTCCACTCATCATCCTTATATATGTCACTTTTCCTTCAGCATTATTGGGTCAAAATCCTGGAAGTCCCTCCCCAACAGCATTGCGGGTGCTCCTACACTACATGCACTGGCTCAAGGAGACAGCTCACCAGCATCTTCTCAAGGGATCGGCAATCAATGCTGGCTCAGCCAGGAATCCCACATCTCATTAACGAATAAAAAAAGCTTCAGTAAACAAACGTGCATTTCAATGCTGTACTTAGGGAGAAATGTGTTGTTGGAGCTGACAATGTGAAATTGATTATAATGGATTATAATTGGATGATAATAGAATAGTGTAGGTTAGATGGGCTTCAGATTGGTTTCACAGGTCGGCGCAACATCGAGGGCCGAAGGGCCTGTACTGCGCTGTAATGTTCTATGTTCTATGTTCTATGTCCCTTCTGTCCTGTTTTTGGTGCTCACCTTTTCAGGTGGGTGTGAAAAGTACAAACAGCTTCCTAAAATGACATACCCAGTACAAAATACTATATTTGTTTAGGGCCTTTAAACATGAAAAATATTACAAGATCTTCAATGGAGATATATGCCAGTTAGTTCAGTTGACTGGACATCGGGTTTGAGATACAGACTGATGCACTTTGGGTTCAATTCCCACACAAGCTGAGGTCACCATGAAGGACTTTCTTCTCAACCCCTCTCCTTGTCTGAGGGGTGGTGACCTCAGATTAAACCACCACCAGTCGTGTCTCTCCAATGAGAAAGCAGACCTAGAGTCTGGTGTGGCTATAGTGATTTTACCTTTACCTTATGCCAAAATGATTATTTTCAAAGAAAGAGGTTAGGAAGGGGAATTAAAGATTGATCAACTAGATGAGTTTGAAGAAGCATCTTACAAGAGGAATTAAAGTTGCGGGAGGCTGAGATGCTCGGAAGGGATTTTCAGAGCATGAAGTCAATGCACCCAAACAGCTGCCTAGATCTGTACAAAAATAATTAGTGATTGTGGGAATATATTGAAAGGTAGGTAGACATACTTTTGATTTCTCAGGGTCTCAAGGAATACAGGGAGTGAATGGGAAGGTAGAGTTGAAGTTTCAGATCAGTCATGGTCATTGTGAATGAAAGAGCTGCCTCAACAGGCCACATAGTTCCTCTTTTGATGTTGTAAGTGAGGCACTTATCAGCATATTACATTTTATGACTCTATCCTTTAGTTGATAGAATCCTAGTCTATGATGCTACCTTTAAATACGGGTTAAATGAAACATAATATAGCTAGCGGCTATCTGACAATAAAATTGAGTGGTTTAACAGTTAGATCAAATGGAGAATAATATTATGCACTGAAATGAATGTTAACACCCGAGGACAATGTCAGCTGTTTCTAAGCCTACAATAAGAACACTGATAACACAGTGTGGAGTTGGAGGAACACAGCAGGCCAGGCAGCATCAGAGGACCAGGAAAGCTGACGTTTCGGGTCGCGACCCTTCTTCAGGCATTGGCAGTTCTTACTATCTCTGAAAAAGAACACTACAGATCAGGCAGCATCTGTGGAGACAGAAACTGAGTTAACATTTCAAGTTTGGTTTGATGATTCTTCAGCCTCAAAACACTAACTATTTCTGTCTCCACAGATGCTGCCAGACCTGCTGAGTTTCTCCAGCATTCTGTTTCTTTCCAGATTCACAGTATTTTGCTTTTATATGACATGACTCAGTCTCTTTTACCCAAAAACATGCTCTGGAAGTGGGTTGTACAGAATTATTCAAGAAATT